GCAATCTGAGATGTGATTTCTTGTACGGCGCGTTTACAATACACGCATGGTCGACTTCCGTACGTATTTCTTATTCTATTGTTTTCTTGTGTTCTTGTTACCTTATCATGTGTCTTGAATCTCGATTACGATACAAGACCACTCTACGGTACATAAGGCTACCTGTCGAATGAGGAATGCTCCAGAGTCTTACACCTGGAGCATCCCTCGTATGTCCCATTACTTCTGTTCACATGTACTTATACTTACGAGCCGTGCAGTGACCTCTGTGTCGCTGCAGGTATGAATACAGAGTCTTACACCTGGAGCATCCCTCTGACCTCTGTGTCGCTGCAGCTCCTGCTCTCCGGTCTTGTCACCTCACCCAGTCGCGCCACTGCGTTTACGGCGTTAGCTGTACCCTAGCGCCATAACTTACGTTGTTAGGTTATGAGCCCCGCCTTTGGCGGCTGGGGTGTCTATTAGTACTCGCGTACACGCTGGTATTGTATGCCGCATTTTCTACGCTATCGACAGACCGTTACACTCGCGCGCTGCGCATATTCCTTCGCGTCACGTACGCTAAGGCTTCGACAAGGTTACGAAGACTCGGACCTTACAGATCTACCTCCCTATCGCTCAAACTCACCACTCGCTCATCTCGCTCGAATCGACCTCGACGTTCTCACATTCACTTCCCTGGTCCCCTCGACTAGCGTTCCGAGCACGCCTGTCATGTCCACAACTGTTGCCAAAGAATTTTCCGAAGTCCCGAAGCTGTCGTCCGATGGCTCGAACTATCGCATATGGCTTGGCCGCGTCGAACGCGCTGCCGGTGCCTGTGAAGCAGAGGAGTTGCTTGTTCGCGCGGCGGATGCTTCTTCGGCTGCAGAACTAAAGCTGAATAAGCAAATGCTCAATGCGATCACAGGGAAGTTTCCTGACTCACTATTCAAGAAGTATATCAGTGTCACGGAAGTTCACTCCGTGATGTCTGGCTTGAAGATGGAGTTCGGGATGTCCACTGCTGCTTCCGAAGCATGGACAGAGGCGAAGCTTTTCTCGCTACGCTGCACTGATGAACGGAAGGTTCGTCAGCACTTGGACCAGCTGTCCGAGCTCAAGGACAAGCTCTCCGAGATGAATGTGAAGATCGAGGACAGAACCTACATTAATGCCATCACCACATCGATTCCCCGCTCCTTCACTCCTGTCGTCACTGCCATCACAACTGCTACTGACATTTATAACTCGACTCTGGGAGCTGGCGCCACGCGCCGCATTGTAACCTCCGCAGAGATTGTCAAAGCGCTCCGCGCTGAAGCAGATTCACGCGCGGTCCTCAAGGTCACTGACAAGAACGTTACAGCTAATGCTGCATTCACCAATGGACGTGGCGGGACACAAGGACGCGGACGCGGACGCGGCGGAAATCGCGGACGTGGTGCGAACTCGAGTAAGAGCAGCACTCCCCGTTCCGAGGACGATTTGACGTGCTTCAAGTGTGGTGGAAAGGGGCATCGTTCTCCGGACTGTCCGTCGAAGAAACAGTTCTATCAGAAGGCGAAGAAGTCAGAAGCTGCATCTACCAGTGCAGGTACGAGCGACAACAAGACAAAGACTGATGCAAAGCCGAAGGAGGGCGCAACAAAAGGCTCGTCTGCATCAGCTGTTGTCACAGCCGTCGAATCATCGGCACACTTCGAAGAGGCCTGGAGTGCCTGTGCAGCGATTCCTTATGAGGAGGCGATTGTCATTGACTGCTCTGACCTAGCCGCACAGGAGGAGGTCCATATCCCGGACGCATACCATGCTTTTGCTGGTATTATTGAATCCGGACATCGTGTCGATATTTTCGACTCTGGCGCATCACGGCACATGACACCGCACCTTGATCGTCTCTCGAATTTCCGCACCACCACTCCGCATCAGATTCGCGCTGCAAATTCTGAAGTATTTTACTCACATGGTGTCGGCGACATGCTGCTGCACCTACCTGCGGAGAATGGCGGCAATCACATCCACCTTAAGGGTGTTCTTCATGCGCCCAAGATGCACGCAACCCTTATCTCGTTGGGTGTTATCGAAGCAGCTGGCTTTGCGTGGATTGGCTATGATGGCCACCTGAATATTTGCAATAAGCATAACGACATTGTCATAACAGTTCCGCGGGAGGATCACCTGTATCGGATCTTCTACGAGTCAACTCATGCTTCACTTGCTACTTCGGCAGTACCACTCTCACTCTTTGAAATCCACAAAAGGCTCAGTCACGTCAACTATGGCTACCTTAAAGCTATGCTACGTCAGAATCGGCTTACCGGTATCACACTCGATCCATCCCATGGCGAAGAGGTCGAGTGCAAGACTTGCCTTGTTGCGAAGGCCCGTCGCGCACCCATATTGCCTGCGCGCCAGTCTCCGCTTGCCGATAAATTCGGCGAACATCTTCACATGGATATCTGGGGGCCCGCATCTGTATTGACCATCGACCGCTGCAGGTATGCCTTGACGATTGTCGACGACGCAACCCGATGGCTAGAGATGCCGCTTATGCGGGTCAAGTCCGAGGCATTCGGGAAGTACGTGGCTCTTGAGGCGCGGCTGCTGACGCAGTATGGTGTCCGCGTGAAGACTGTCCAATCTGATCGAGGCGGCGAGTTTCTTTCTACTGATATGGACGCCCACCTCGAACGTGCTGGTACCATGCGTAAGCTGACGGTTCATGATACACCTGAGCACAATGGTGTTGCTGAACGTACGCACCTCACAACCTTTAACGGTGTGCGCGCTGCACTTGCTGGCTCCGGTCTTCCCAAATGGCTGTGGGGCGAAGCTCTCGCCTACGTGGTCCATGTATACAACCGGACAGCTCGCCACGCACTGCAGGGTCGTTCGCCATTCGAAGTGCGCTACGGTCATGCCCCAGATGTGTCCAATTTGCGGGAATGGGGGTGCCATGTTGTTGTCTCTGTTCCGACAGACTCGAAGTTGGATGCTCGTGGACGTGAGGCTTGCTGGCTTGGCCTGGATCGGACGTCAAATGGGCACCGTATCTATTGGCCTAAGGAGCGGAAGATTTCTGTCGAGTGGAATGTCATTTTCAGCTCGGAGTCTCCGCGCGTCGAGGGGGAGCACGATTTTGACATTGGACCTACCTCACATGTTTCCGACACTGCTTCACCTCCTCTCAAGCGTTTGCGCCATGTTCCTGAACCTGCGCGCTCGCCATCACTTGAGCCTGGCGAGATCCGTGAACCTGTGCACCCCGACATCGTCACAGGCAAGCGCAAGCGCACACCGAGTGCTAAGCTTCGTGCTATTGCGTCTGGACGAGCTGAGGGTGCACTCACTGAGATTACCATTGATGAGAGCGAGGAATCCGAGGTCCTCGCATACTCTGTGGGTGCTGCTGCATCTGACTCCCTTGGCTTTGATCCTCGCTCTGTTGCGGAAGCAAAGCGTCGTCCCGACTGGCCCAAGTGGCAGGAGGCAATGAGAGACGAGATCAAGAGGTTGGAGTCAAGGAAAGCGTGGGTATATGTGGACCCGCCGCCGCGTCAAGCCGGACACAATGTGGTTGGCTCGAAATGGGTTTTTCGAATGAAACGTGACGCCCGTGGGGAAGTCACTGGCTACCGCGCACGCTTAGTCGCTCAAGGCTTCACGCAAGTCGAAGGTGTCGATTATTTTGCTGATGACACCTATGCTGCAGTCTGCAAACTGGCATCAATTCGAGTCATTCTCTCTGTTGCAGCTCGCAATGGTTGGTTCACGCACCAAGTGGATGTCAAGAGTGCATACCTTTATGGTAAGCTGCGCGAAGACGAGAAGATATATATGCGCCCTCCTCCCGACATCGAGCTCGACGGCCTGACAGCTGGTCAAGTCTTACTGCTTCTGGTCGCGCTCTATGGACTCCATCAATCCGGACGACGCTGGTACGTTCGTCTGCGCAAGATTCTTGAAGGGTTCAAACTCGTATGGCTTGAACATGATCACGCCGTTTTCTATCGGCGTCATCCCGACGGTGAAATATCCATCATATTCCTCCACGTTGACGACATGACACTTGTTTGCTCGTTGCTCGCTAATCTACTCCATCTCAAGGAGATGATCAAGGCCGAACTCGAAATTACGGACAACGGCGAGCTCCATTGGCTCCTCGGCATTGAAGTCAAACGCAACCTCGAGAAACACACAATTGCACTCTCACAGCGTGCGTACATTGACTCTATCGTTGCACGCTACGGTTTCTCGGATGCAAAACCCCTCGCACAGCCCATGGATCCGCATGTCCGGCTCTCCATCGATCAATGCCCCGTCTCCACAGCTGAATACGCTGCAATGCGAGACAAGCCATATCTCGAAGCTTTGGGGGCACTACAGTACGTTTCTGTAGCCACTCGTCCTGATATCACGTTTGCAGTTGGGCAACTCGCTCAATTCGGTCGTAATCCCGGACTCGCGCATTGGAATGCGCTGAAGCGTGTTTATCAATACCTCAAGGGCACTGCCGATGTCTGGCTTGTGCTAGGCGGCTCGGAGGACAACGAAATCGTTGGCTACTCTGATGCCGACGGCATGAGCACAGAAGGGTGTCGCGCAATCTCGGGCTACGTCTTCATGCTCAACGGAGGCGCTGTCTCTTGGTCATCAAAGCGACAGGATCTCGTCACACTGTCGACCACTGAGGCCGAATATGTTGCGCTGACTCACACTAGCAAAGAAGCCATCTGGCTTCGCTCTTTCATCAAAGAGCTGTTCGGTGACCCCGAACAACCCCTTCCTCTTCGCTCCGACAATCAATCTGCTATCGCACTCGCCAAGGACGACCGCTTTCATGCACGCACCAAGCACATCGACATACGATTTCATTTTATCCGCTATGCCATCGCTGAAGGCAAAATCTCACTGTCCTACTGCCCAACAGAAGACATGACTGCCGATATCTTGACCAAAGCGCTGCCGTCGCTGAAATGCAAACACTTTGCTTCGTCCATGGGACTCTCGAAGGTTTGAGGGGGAGTGTCGCAATCTGAGATGTGATTTCTTGTACGGCGCGTTTACAATACACGCATGGTCGACTTCCGTACGTATTTCTTATTCTATTGTTTTCTTGTGTTCTTGTTACCTTATCATGTGTCTTGAATCTCGATTACGATACAAGACCACTCTACGGTACATAAGGCTACCTGTCGAATGAGGAATGCTCCAGAGTCTTACACCTGGAGCATCCCTCGTATGTCCCATTACTTCTGTTCACATGTACTTATACTTACGAGCCGTGCAGTGACCTCTGTGTCGCTGCAGGTATGAATACAGAGTCTTACACCTGGAGCATCCCTCTGACCTCTGTGTCGCTGCAGCTCCTGCTCTCCGGTCTTGTCACCTCACCCAGTCGCGCCACTGCGTTTACGGCGTTA